GGGGAGGTGCAGTGTGGGAGAGAATAGGCAGTGCTTGGAGCTGGAGCCAGAGCCTCGCAGGTGGGATGCTGCAGGGTTGTAGCGGTGCTGCCTCCTTGACTATGCAGAAGGAGCCCACCATGAACCTCAGGGCTCTGCCCACCACAGTGGGCTCCCCACTTGTGTCATGTACCAGTGCCGAGAACAGCACGCATCCCCACAGGCACGGTTAGATGTGTCCTGGCATCGCACAGCTCACCCAGCAGGGCTGGAGTGGGGGTCCTGCTTGTATTCCTGCCTATCTGGGGCTCCTGCATTTAGCTTTTCCTCTCCACCTCTCCCTTTCTGCTCAGCTTACCACAGCTTTTGGCTGTCCTGACATGGCCGAGATGGCAGCAACTTTTTAAACCATGTCTCTTAGAAATGAGTGCCTGAGTACTCGCCGGGCTCTGGAGACACCCTGTTGTGCTGCTGCCCGCACCTTGCCCCTGTGTTTTCTTTCTTTTCCAAGCTCCTCTGCCAGGCAGCCGAGATCCCCAGGGGCGAAAAGGCTGGTGCAAAGGAGGCAAAGACGGCCAACACCAAGTGGTGGTCAGGCCGCGAGCAAAAACACCCCACAAGGAATAGCAAGGTGAGTGCTGGCACCCCATGGGCTTTGGGGAGGTGTGGGCAGGGGGCTCAGCCCACTGGGCAGGGGTAGGGGCTGTGTGAAGGCAGCCCCCGGGGACACATCTGCTCATCCCCTAGCAGTGCAACCTGACCGGCTGGTGGGAGAATGAGCTGGGCTCCAGGATGTACGTGTCCACGGTTGATGGCGAGGGCAACTTCTCTGGCGAGTACCACACCGCCGTGTCAAGCGCCCAGAAACCCATCAAGCCATCCCCCCTTGTCGGCTCCCAGCACTTGGATGAGGACGGGCAGTGCACCTTTGGCTTCACTGTCAACTGGAAGAAGTTTTCTGGTCGGTAGCTGCAGTGGTGGCTGTCCTGGATGGGGTGGTGGGATGGGGAGGGGAGCTCAGGCAGGTCCCAGTGCCAATCCCTCTGTCTCCTTTTCTGTCCCCAGTCTGTCCTTCCCTGGTCTCTCCTCACTCTGGACAGTGTCTGCAGACAGCAGGACATCTCCTGCAACGTTGTTTGGGCTAGGCAGCATCAAGAGTTGCTTTGACAGCATCTCTGCTGCAGGACTTTTCTGCAAACATCGGGACCCACCTGGGCTCCATGAGCATTAAATCCACTGGTGCTTGTGAAGCCCCAAAAGCAGCTGGTGTCCCACTGGGGTACTAACAGCCACCGCTTCCCCAGACTCCACAGCTGTCTTCGTGGGCCAGTGTTTTGCTGGGGACGATGGGGAGGAGGTCCTGCAGACCTCCTGGCTGCTGCGGGAGAAGGTCGACTCCCTGCCCAGTGACTGGAAAGCCACCAGGTGAGCCAAGGGACACCCAGCCCAACTGGGGCCCCTGCCCTCCACCAGCTGGGCACCAATGGGCTTCTACTTCCCTGCAGGACCGGCCGCAATGTCTTCATTCGGATAGGCTGAAAGGAGGTAGGAGAAGCCTCTTGCTTTAGCCAGGCTTGGGAGACCCCTCAGCAGCATCAGTGTGTCCCAGCATCGGAGTTGTTATCAGCTCTGGGGGAAGATGTTCCCAGAAACCAAATAAAATCAAAATTCTTACCTTTAAACCCAACCTTGTGCAGTCTGTGGATATGTCTTGGGGAAGCTGGGCTAAATCACTGTGGTGGGTATGGGGTGGAGCTCTCACCCTGTTACACTAGGAAGAGACTAGTTGGAAGAAAGCTCCTTTTCCAGCCTGAATGTGGCTGCAGCATCAAACTGACCCTCTGACACCGAGCGCAGGTCAGCCTCGACTCTTTGCTGCTTGATGCCAGGTAAGCATGATGGGTAAAATGGGGGCCCTTCTGCACCCCAAAAAGCTGGCGAGGAGCCCCCCCTCCCCTCCCCAGCTCTGAGGCAGCCC